TATATGTCAATGACCTCCTCCTAGTCTCAGGTTCGCTTGATCTTCTCAACAAGGTGAAAGGTATTCTCACAAGTGCATTCACGATGACCGATCTTAGGTGAGCCAAGTCATTATCTTGGTATGAACATTGTGAGAGATCGTAAGTCATGGTCCATCTTCCTATTCCAGCAAAGGTACATCTAAAAGGTCCTTGAGAGGTTTGGTCTTGATGATAGCAAGCCATCACCTACCCCGCTTCCTTCCAACTTTGTCCCTCTGTCATCACATCAGCCCTATTAAGAGAGGGAGTCAAGCCTTGACATCACGGGCATTGAGGAGTTGTGTCTTGAGGAGAGTGAGCATCATGGTGAAACTTCACCAAGGTACCCCCACAAGACCTAGCTCTCTACCGAAGTCAGGTTGGGTGTCTCATGTATGCAGCCCTATGCACAAGGCCCGACCTAGCATTCACGGTATCTAAGCTAGCTCAACACATGAGTGCCCCTTCACCTATTCATATGCATGCAGCCAAGCGAGCTCTTCGGTATCTCAAAGGTACTTCTAATCATGGTCTTCTCTTCCAAGCCAGCCCACATGCAAGCTCCCTCCAAGGCTTTACCGATGCAGATTGGGCAGGAGAATTGAGCACACGCAAGTCTACCGGCGGCTACATCTTCCTCATGTGTGGTGCCGCTGTTTCTTGGCAATCACGCAAGCAAAGTTGTGTGGCACTTTCAACAACCGAAGCTGAGTACATGGCAATGACCGAAGGAGCAAGGGAGGCAATCTGGTTACGTGGACTCTTGGAGGACTTGAGGCAGCCGCAAACTCAACCAACTCCGCTCTACGTGGACAACACTTCAGCCATAGCTCTTTCCAAGAACCCGGTTCATCGTGGGCGTACAAAACACATCGAGGTGCAGTACCACTTCATTCGTGAGCAACTAGAGAAGGGAATTCTCGCCATCAACTTTTGATCAAGCAGCAGATTTCATGACCAAGGTTCTTCAAGATGATGCATTCAACATGTGCAAGGCAAGAGCAGGCCTCATGACACTTCATGAAGCAGTGGAGCAGTTTGAGGAGAATGAGGAGTGTGAGGGGAAGAGACGTGGGCAGCAGCATGAAGTGTATGCTAAGGAGATGTGAAAGGAGCATCAGCATGGGTGTATGTGTGCTTCGGGTCTGGTGCGAGGGGGAGTGTTGGAGAATCGAGTTTCTGCCGCCCCAGCCCTTTGCACACAAGCAGCAGCAAGGGGGAATGTTGGCGATGAATCAGAGGCTTCAGGAAGTACTTCGAAAGTTCCACCACCAATCAGATTTCAGCCGAAGACTCGATACAGTTCAAAGCTGCCTTCAAACCTAAGTGTTGGCAGTTTCTACAGGTTTCTACACATCAGAATCAGCTATAACAGAAATATTCAGAGTTTTCTTATTCATGCACCTCTTGTGGCACCCAAAGTCACTCAAGGTCCATCCAATCTAGATTGTGCCCAAGTTACCAGGGAAGTTACATTGTCTATCAGCCTAGTTTGAGCTTTCAATCTGACTTGTTTGTGATGCCTATAGAATTGTGCTTTAGTGGGCTTGTTAATCTTAAACATAGTGAAGTTTTACCTCATCCAGTCAATTCCAGCAGCCCTGCTAAGACTTTCCAGCCAAGTTTCCAGACCTCCAGTAGTCAGAGCTAGTCTGTTTTACAAGTGTGTGTGACGTAGGTTCCGAAAAGCCTACGTTTGCACCTCATTGCTATGGCGCAGGTTTAGGGTAAGTGAAGTGTAGGTGCGCGGTACGTTGCGGCAAGTTGAGCGCAGGTTGAGGGCAGGTTTTGAAGCTGACGTGCAACCAGCCCAAGGTTCGAGCTTGAAGTTGCGGAACGCAGCTTTCCAGCTAGCCAACCCGAACCTCCTGGGCCTTTCTAGGCCGAGCTTCAAACCAGCCTCGTGAATCATTTGTAGAATGCTGTACAATCTATTAAGTTAATATTTGCCATCTGTATAACGTGTTATTCACTGAAATCTCTTGATACCTTTTGTCAATCAATGATTTGCCAGATTCATTTCAATGAATTGTGGTCCAGTCACACAATGGCTGTTAGGAATAGTAAATATAGCTGTGCATTCCCATTGTATAAGCCTATCTATGTGTTTATTATGATATTCTCAGTCATTTTATATTCACTCTGACATTAGATTAATAATTCCGCTGCAATTTACTCTGCGCGAACCTTCCTATGGTGATCCTAGGCAAGATGTCGTATGAATGATGAATTGACGAAGAGTCGCGTCAGGTTACGTAGCATCTGGACCGTCGAAACAGAAGCATCGGGCAGTTGCAATGGCTACGATTGTGACGGGAAGAGGTTCGTAACTGTTCGGATCGATTGGGATTTGCTGCAATAAGAGAATGTACCCCTTACAGTACATCGCTAGTCTAGGTCGTTTCATATTCCCTTGTACTCTAATATAAACTATTATATTTGCGTGTTTTAATAATCTCAGTCATTTTAATTCACTCCGACCTAAGGTCAAAAGGGCCCACCACGTGCTGCGTAGTTGTGCGAATGAGGTCAAACTAGTTCCTATGGCTAGAAAATAGGATGTACTAGGGAACTATGTGAAGAAATATAGGTAAAAAGATTGAGAAAGCTCCGCAGCCCGGGGAGAGAAAGGTGGTGAGGAAGATCAACGCCGCAAGAGGGAACGGAGAGGACGTATGCTCACGAGCTTTCTGAGCGAAAATAGGTGGAAATATGCAGAAGCTGAATCTATTTCTGAGGGCAAGCGAAGGAGGAATAGGGAGAAGGCAGCAGATGAGGAGGGAGGGAGGACAGAAGGGAGGACAGGGGAGGCATGTTTTGATTGGCGGTGCCGTGAGTCATTCATGCAAGAGGCGACGTGCCACCTATCACCCATCAATCAATCGCAGTGCACGCTTTCTCACCCCACCTGTCATCCGTTTTGCCTTGCACACCCATGCATGTCGAGCCTTCCCCCTGAATGGAATGGTGGTGGTGCTAGTGTCGAATCTCGACCACATTGCATCGGCATGCGGTGCGGGCGGGGCTCCTATCGTTGGAAAGCACGAGAGAAGGTGGAGGCGATATAATTCCTCCTGCAGCTCCGCATGGAGTGTCATTGCTAGGTATTGTTCATCACCCTTGACATGACCAGTGTAACCAACGCAAGAGATAACTCGACCGGCCGCCATTTCCGAGACTCTACGGCCTTCCTACGTCCTTACAATAAAAAAAACTAGGCTGTCACACCGCTGTCGACGTTCATCACTCTTGACATGATCGTTGTATCTGATAAACCGACCCCGTAATGTTTCTCAGACTCTCTTGTAGCCTAAGCATCCAAATGAATAACATGGCAAATGTCATTTCGATATACTAAAGTCCATGAACAACACGGTTGAGGATCACTATGCTCATGTTTAGTCGTGACGTCACTGGCGCTTATAGACATCTCCCATGTGTTGCGAATGTTGCAACTTACGGAGCCGTTTTTTTCAAATCGGTTTGCATCTTGCCTAAGTAAGTAACAGGGAGTTACTGCACAAAAATGCATTGTACTCCTAAGTTCTGGTTTTCCGCACTTTGGCACTGTGCCCCGTAAAGGGTCTAGGCTTGCCCATTTACGAGTGTCGAGATTTCACTGCCTCTGTCAAACTTATATGCTATAGCCTGTGTAGGCTGTAGTGGGGTAGACAATATGGGGTACAACATTTCTAGGTTTTACTACTTGTACCCACCTCTTTCCTAGTTGATTCATTCCTCATTCTTCACATGGTATAGAGCAGGTTCCCTCGTGGGAACGCTTCTCAAGGCCCACCTCTGAACTCGACTATTTTTTCCTGCCCAAGGCGCGCCCCGTAGGCCGCCCTCATGTCGCGCCCTCCTAGAGGCCTCTTGCGCCACCCTTAGTGGCCCCATCGCCACCCCTTACAGCCCTATCGCCGTCCTTTGCGGCCCCGTCGCGCCCCTCTAGGCCCCTCGCGGACCCTTCGCGGCCCCGGTCGTCGCCCCTACTAGGCCCGTCGTCCGCCCCTCTGGGGCACCTCGCGGCTCCTTCGCGGCCCCCGTCGCCGCCCCTCTAGGCCCCGTCACCACCACCTCTAGGCCCCTTGTGGCCCCTTCATTGGCCCCGTCGCCGACCCTCGCGGCCACGTCGCCGCCCTTTGCTGCCCCGTCGCCGCCCCTAGCGGTCCTCGTCGCCCGCTGAGCCGCCGAGCAGCAGAGCATCCGAGCCACCCAGCACCGAGCAGCCAAGCCGCCGAGCCGCCCCGCAAGCCAAGCCGCCGAGCCCGCCGAGCCGCCGAGCCGACCCAGCAGCCGAGCCGCCTAGCAAGCCGATCCGCCGAGCCGCCCAGCAGCCGAGCCGCCGAGCCGCCCTATCGTCGAGCCGCTACTGTCACTGCAGAGCCGCTGCCACCGCGGTTACAGTCCTGTTCCTACCGGCTCGCCCCGGCCCTACTACAACTCGGACTGGTGAGAATGCACTCCCTGCTGATACCAAGCGATGTCACGGCTACCCCCAGTGTCCTTAACCTTTGATACTAGGGTCGTTGCCTGTTGACTTTGAGTCCTGGGTCGATGACCTCCAGCTGTTACCACAGTGCGATAGGGGCAGACAGAACTCTCCCTGTTCGAATCTCACCTCCAGGTGCCTCTCCTGCCCGCGCCTACTGATGCTGACGAGCACTGTTCGCTTCACAGTGGGCCAGACTGCGATGCTGCTTCCCGTCTTGCTGTGCGTCAGCCACTTACCGACCACTGAGCGTGTGCAACGTTAGTCATTACAAGAGTGCTCAGACCTTGTAACGATGCTGTAGTTGCATGCTATCGCTGCCCCGACCAACTGCTGCTCTAGTAGCCACCTCATGTTGTTGTACCTGTTCCCTGACCTTGCTGCCTTTCCAGCATATCGCTGACCTCATTACGCACCTTCGCACTGAGTTGACACTCGCTACCGCGATGTGCTTCCTGCTGAGTTCTGCGCCGAGAACCCACCCCCCCTATGTATATCACCCTCTACTATATAGTCACCCGGCTCCCTGACTCCCTTCGCTTGGTTAGGGACCACTTCCTCTCAGTTTGCCCCACCACACTAACCGTTGACCTCCTCGAGGAGTGCCTCCTAGCAGCAGAGAAGAGCATAGTCGCTGTAGGAGCCTCTCGTGTGACCCTCGCACCCCCGTCTTTAAGGGGTGTTCCCCCTCCCCCCTCTTGCCCTCTATTGCCTCTGCTGCTGTGGCCGACCTCGTTGGCTTCGAATCGGTGGGCGCTGCGTCTGCCCCTAGCGTGAGACACCGCACCGGCAAGGGCAAGGGGGCAAGGGCGCTGGAGGGGCTGGCGGGGGCGGTGGAGGTGGTGGTGGAGGTAGTGGAGGGGGTGGGGTGGTGGTGGGAGTGGTGGCAAGGGTGGAGGTGTCGGTGGCAGTAGTGGAGGCGGAGGAGGCGGCGGCGGTGGCAAAGGGAGAAGAGGCGGCGTAGGTGGCGGAGGCGGCGGAGGTGGCGGCGGAAGCGGCGGCGATCATCAATTCCCTAACGCCACTGAGATCCCTCGCTGGGGAGAGCTGTCTAGGGCGGGGGTTGCTATCTTTAATCTTGATTATGATGCTATTCTTGCTGCCATGTATGCTGTGTCTACTAGTGATGAGGGTGACTATTACCTGTGTGTTCCGCCTAACCCGGGCGTTGAGGCTGCTGCTCTAGGTGTTGGTGAGGCTGCTGCTCTAGGTGCTAGTGCGTCTGGTGCCCCAAGTGCTGGTGAGTCTAGTCTCTCAGGTACCACGATGGCTCAAGCCGTACACACATTCACCCTTGACTCGGGTGCTTCCCGCTCCTTCTTTCGAGACTGCACCACGCTTACGCCGCTTAGTCGGCCGGTTGCAGTCTCCCTGGTGGACCCCTCTGGGGGTCTTGTCCTTGCTAGCTTCTCCACTGTCTTACCGTGTCCGATAGCCCCCTCTAGCACCCTGTCAGGTCTCTACCTCCTCTCCTTCTCTACGAACTTGGTGAGTGGAGCTGATCTACAGGATAGGGGGGTTGACCAGTTCACTCCTGCGAGTCAGCGGGTGACCCACTGTACGTGTGCTCGGACGGGCCGACACTTGGCCACGTTTACCCGTGGCCGGGGTCGAGCCTGTACATACTGACTACTGAGTCTCCTCCGGTTGCTGAGTCTGGTTAGGTAGCTGCGTCGAGTCAGGTGTTTGCTGCAGCGTCCAGGTCTGGTCCTGAGTCTGCTCCCTGCTCGTGTCGTCTCCTGTCCCACTAGACTCTCCTTTGGCACCACTGTCTTGGTCACCCCTCCCTGCCTCGTCTCCAAGGCATGGCCTCCCGTGTCCTTGTCTGTGGTCTCCCCCGGTCTCTCCCTCCCCTACTTCAAGGCCTACCCCTTCCTGCGTTCCCTGCATCGAGGGGCGGCAGCGTGCCGACCCTCACTCCTCTGAGTTTCCTACGACAGAGGCTCCGCTCGAGACTCTTCACATGGACGTGTGGGGCACCCGCCTGCGTCCGTGGCCAGGGTCACAAGCGTTACTTCTTGTTGGTGGTTGTGATACTCGCGTTACATGACGATTTTTCCCCTTGCGCAGCAAGGGTGACGTCACTGAGGTGTTATCGACTGGATCCGCGCAGCTCGTCTTCAGCTCAGAGCAAAGTTTTGGGCTCGGACTTTCGTGTTCTGCGTCTGCACTCTACAGGGACGGGGAGTTTTCCTCTGCCCATCTGGGAGCCTTCTGTCGTGCACAGGGCATCCGCCGACCTTCACGCTTATGGATTC